TGGGGAGTTTTCCCTAGCCAGGATGAAGAAAGGGGAAGCCAGGCATGGTGGTGCATGCCTGTAATCCCAGCACTCAGGAGGCGGAGGCAGAACTGTGAGTATGAGATCACCCCAGGCTACAAAGTGAGCTCCGGACCAGCCTGGGAGACTCTGTCTTAAAAAGCCCAGCCCTACCCCCAAGACAAAAAGGGAGGACAGGGCAGCCAGAACCAAGGAGGCTCAGTGGCAGACGGCAGAAGGAGTACCTGAGCCCAGGGAGGATGAGGGTTATGGCATGTCCCTAGGACATCTGCAATGTCACTAAGACACCCAGCTAGCTGGCTTGCAATTCAAGGTCTACTGCTGTATTTGCAGCCAGCTCTACTGGCTATCATACAAATTACAGGTGCAGAATCTACAGCAACATAAACAAGATAAAAAGCATTTGTTCTATGGAAACTAAGGTGAATGCTCTGGTGAGGTTAAAAGGCACAAAGACCGAAAAGCTGATGCATGGTCCAGAATGGGAGAGACAGCCATCTAGGAGGATTCTAGGTGCTGACTGTCCTTGGCTGCTTGGGAGCCTTTGTTCTACTACGAAGAACCAAGCAGTCCAGACCCTGTGTCCATCTGGGTGAGTGATACGAAGTTATCGAGAAAGTTGATTCACTAAGCACTAATGACACTGAGATGGGACGAACGCACCTGAAGGTCCCTCTGTAACAAAATCTTTGTGGTACAGAAGCATCTTTTTCGGAGGTGCTGAGGATGGAACCCCAGGCTAAGGGTGCAGCAGACAAGTGCTCTACACCATGCTGTGGCCCTAACCCAGAAGTCTCCTGGCTCTCTGTGCACTGCCACCCCTACCTCCGCCCCCACCCCCCGTTGCCCCGGCTCTCACCATGGACTCCTTCCGCAGGTCACTGTACATCTTGGCCACCTTGTCCTGGTCCATCTGGTTCAGTTTTGGGTGGACCCTCTCCTTGGCATAGATGATGTACTTTTTTAGTACCTCCTGCGGCAGTGGCTCCACACCATATGTATTGGGCATGGGGGGCTCCTGGGCACCATTGGCCAGCCCCTCATCCTCTTTGTTGCTGGGGTGGTGGCGGACGTGGCTGCCGACCACAAAGCGGGCCAGCATCTCATCCTGCACAGGGTCCACAGTGTCCCTCACAACACACAGGATGTCAAAACGGGAAATGATGGGCTCTGTGAGGTCCACGTTCTCTGAGAAGGTCAGTGAGGGGTCATAGCGTCCCCCTGAAACACAAGGAGTCTGTCAGGTCAGTGCCCCCAGACCGACCTTTTCAACCCTAAACACCCTTCCCAAGCCCAGCCTCATGGGAAGAAGCAAAGGCACTGAGGCAGACAAGGAACCGTGCCTGTGCTGAGTGACCCTAATGGGCATGACTGGACAGAAGGCAACTCCCCAGAAAGGACCTAAAGGACCTACAGAGTAGAGGAGACAACACTGGGCTCTGTAACTTCCCACCCTAGCCAGCTCAGGCTGGGAACCAGACTTTTCCCCTCAGTCCTGAAAACACCCAAAAGAGGTGCTGAAAGCCAGACTCCCAAACTGTGAGGTACCCTCAGACCTGTGCTCCTCAGCACTGGAGTCTGGATCACGTAGGGCCTACTCAGCCCAGCGTACCTATGGGGTTGGCAGCTGCAATGACAGTGCAGCGGGCCTGTAGGGAGGTGACGATGCCGGCCTTGGAGATGGATATGCTCTGCTGCTCCATGGCTTCATGGATGCTGGTCCTGTCCTGGTCGTTCATCTGTGAGACACCCAGGTCTGGCCTTTAGCATGCATGCACTGGACTACCATGTCTGTCAGTTGTGCCTCCCAGGAAGGCCTCACCCTGACTCCTACCAGCCCACCTGGCCCAGGGCCCTACCTTGTCAAACTCATCAATGAGACACACGCCCCGGTCAGCTAGAACCAGTGCTCCAGCCTCCAAGGTCCACTCCCTGCTGACTGGATGCCGCTGCACATAGGCCGTCAGCCCCACTGCCGAGGCGCCCTGGCCTGTGGTAAAAATTGCCCGGCTGGACACCTTCTCGACGTACTTGAGGAACTGAGACTTTGCCGTTCCTGGGTCTCCACACAGCAGCACATTGATGTCACCTCGCACTTTGTGCTTCCCACCTGGCAGACGGGAATGAAAGTAGTGGGGATGGGAAAGGGGGTGAGGGGTGCAGGCTCTAGCTGGTGCCCTGATGTTTCTCAACCTGTGTGTCAGCATGGCCAAGGCATGGTCTTGGTAGGAAGGATGCAGGTCTGGGACCAATGACCCTAAGCTGGCCACTTAAGGCAGAGAGACACTGGCCTGAGTCTCATGACGGTACAGATAAAACGTTCTCTGTGAAAAGGGGAAATCAGAAATAGATTTCTCTAGAGAAAGAGCTGAGTCCACTAATACCCTCACCACGTGAAGAAGGAACATGCTAGGCACATGCTAACATGAAGGTGCCAAAGACAGAGTAGGAAGAGGGCAGTGGGATGTTTTTCCATGCACAAGAAATCCCAGGCATGCTGCACTGGCCACACCAAGCTGATGGGAAGATGACCCACGAGCGGAAGGGACTGGGACAAGGAGCACCTGTCAGGGTCCCTGCAGGTTCACCAGTGACCTAATGTACACATGAACTGAGAGCACTTACCTGGTCTCATCTTGCTTTTTGGGATTTTTGTTTTTGACAAAGCGTCACTGTATAGTTCAGGCTGTCCTTGGACTATGTAGCTCAGGCTGCCCTAGAACTCGAGGGTAATTCTCCTGCCTCCGCCTCTTTAAGTGCTGGGATTGCAGGGATGTACCACAACTCCGGCTAATCTAACTCTGTTCCCCTATGAAGTAGCCACACAGGACTTGGCTGTCTTTTTATGCAACCTTTCTCCCAGCAGCCAGGAGTCCTATCTTGTACTGCAGAACACAGGAGGCTGACCCCCCAAAGGAAACGGATACCTCTGAAGCGGGCAGAGGGAGAGGGCTGAACGTTGCTTACCTGGGTTCTTGGGTTCTCCTCCAAATAGAGCCAGGGCCAGGCCTCTCTTGATGTCCTCATGGCCATAGATGGAAGGTGCGATGCTAGCAAAGATCTGGGAGGAAGGAGAGGACCATGGAATTGGGGCCCAACCGGCTGAGCACACAGCCCTGGCTGCTGTAATTCCTCAGGCCGTGTCCCACTGTGCCCTGATGCTGGTCCTTGGCTCTCCCCAAGAACCACAGACCTCAAGGTGGAAGAGCCTCAGCCTGACCCTCCATTCAGCTGTGGTTTGGAAAGCACTTTCCCAAGACTGCAGGCCAACAGCCATGCCTGGGAGCTTGCACCCTGCAGCAGCACCCGAGGCAGCCTGTGCCCAACGCTCACGCGCATCAGCATGGGAATGGTGCTCCCAGTTTACACCGGGATAAGCGAGTGGGACTGTTCACTGGGTGCCAACCTGGGCCCAGACATAAACAGGATTAACAAGGCACAGGTGCATAAAGGGGGCCCTCTTTCAAATTCAGTGAGGGAGGGAGAGACCAGAAGAAGCAAAATCTGCAAGCATTTTAAAGACTGAACTAAAGACAGCAGAGCAGTTCCTTGCTGGCAGGGCACAACCCTGTGCCTGAGCACAGCTATTCCGACTGTTTTCAGCCTCCCTGGCTGTCCCAGCACCACAAACAAGAGGAAGTACTTCAATACTTCTGTACTCCACCGGTACTCCATAGGGAGCACCATCCCTTGAAAGGAAATATACTTCCCAAGGGCTTTTTGGAGAATGGCTGATTCCAGGCCTGGGGCAGTGTTATGGGTTGCCTCTAGTTGCCCACACCAGCAAGCTTCACAGTCAGGGGGTGGCTTCTGGAGTTTGTGATTGAGTCTTGATCCAATGCTGGGATTATGGGTGTGGATGCTACACCCCAGCCCTGGGGCAGACAGGGCATCACAATGTAGGACTGCCAACGGCTGAGCTGCTGCTACTCCCTCTGAAAGGAAAGGCTGCCCTCTGCCACGTGCTGCTCTCCACCTTGCGGCCAGCCAGGTATGGACTGAAACCTCCAGTAACTGAGCTAAATAAACTTTCCTTCCTTCATTTTGGATGTCGGGTATTTGTCCCAGCAACAAGAGAAGAGTAACTGAGACCGGCAGGAAATGTACCAGCTCAGCCTGTGGTGCCTTCTACCAGAGGAAAAGAAACCAAGGGGCAACCAGAGTCACATCAGCAGGACGGAGACAGCAACAACAGCGTCAGAGGCAACAGGACCCTGAACACCGGAACACAAGGACAACAGCGCTGACAGTGCTTATGCTGATGTCACCTGCTTGGGACAATGCTACCTCCTCATTTTGAATACTAGTCAGTCCTGCCAATCTTAGAATAGCTCTACCCATAGGTGATACCAGTGAATGCAGAAAAGCCCATCTTCAGGGAAGTTCCCCACCAAATACATGCAGGTTTACAATAAAAAATGCTTGGAGCAAGCCCCAAGTGCTGGTGGACTTAGTGGTCCTGACAGCAGCTATGACACAACCTGTGCCACCTCAGAGGAGTCCAGAGGGATTATCAAGCTGGAGGGCCAAGGTGTGGCTCCACAGCAGAATGCTGTCTTAGCTCCAGGGCTCCTGGATTCAGTCCTAGTGTAGGGGGTGGGGAACCCCAACCTCAGTATCTGACCACGCATCCGCAGAAAATGCAGGTGACAGGGGCCTCTGTACCAGACACAGCAACCAGGCTACTGCATGTAACCTCCATAAAAACTGCAAGGCAAAAGAAAGAGCCGCACAGCCTTAGATGGGGAGACTGAGATGGACCACATTTACATTGCCTCCAAGCTATTAAAAAAGAATGGATGAAGCAGGTATGTCGGTGGCCAACTGCAATCCCAGTGCTCTGGAAGGCTGAGGCAGGATTCAAAGTTTGAGCTCTGGCTGGGTAACTGACAATTAGAAGAACTGTTTCAAAATTTTATTAAAAATAAGGGTGTAGGAGGCCAGGGAGACAGCTCAGAAGCTTAAGCACCTGCCTGGCAAGTGCAAGGTCCTGAGCTCAATTCCAAAAAAAAAAAAGTATAGGGTTATAGCTTAGTTAAAAGATGTTTTAGCTGGGAGTGGCAGCTCATGCCTATAATGCCAGCATTCAGGAGGCTGAGGCAGAAGGATCGTTGGGAGTTCAAGACTAGCCTGGCTACAGAGTGAGCTCAAGGGCAGCCTCAGTTGCCTAACAAGACCCTGTCTCAAAAAGATAAAAAAAAAAAAAAAAAAGAAGGTGGTGCTCCACCCTTTGCTCTCTCACCTTTCACCTGCGCTCCCACACCAGCCCCTTCACTTTTGCCTTCCCAGCTACAACACCTTGAGCTACTAAACTTCTGTCCATCATAAATTACTGCGTCTCTGTTATCCTGCTGTAACAGTACAAATCAACTAAGGCATAGAATTGTAACAGCTGAGCAGTGTGGTGCACACCAGTAATTCCAGCACTGAGGGAGTGTGAGGCAGGATAGCTAAGTTCAAGTCCTGCCTGGGAAACTTAGTGAGACTCTGTCTCAAAATAACCACTAGAAAGGCCTGAGGATGTCAATCAATGGTGACAGTCTCCTGAGTTCAAGTGCCAGTACCACAAAAGTGAAGAAATAAACATTATCTTGTAACAAAAATTTTCTGAATGTGCACCAGGCACCAAGCTGTGCTGTATGCCCCACAGAACTCAACATTAGCAAAGTGAACTCATAATCCTTGGTGTGGACTGTGAATCTGCAGTGTGTCCAAAATCTCAGGCCCTGTGCACAGGTGGCCCTCAGAGGTGATAGATCACAAGGAAGCCTGTGAGGCCCAACCCAATGAGTCCACAGCTAAGCAGGCTGCGGAGGTGGGGACAGCTGGAGGGTGTAGGAGACTCCAGTCCTGGCCCAATTTTCAGTCTCCTTCACAAGGGAGGGAGGCTACACATCCCCACCCCCAGCCATCAAGTTCTGACATGGCCATAAAGCAATGCAAGCGCCTGGCCTTGACTCTCAGAAAACTCTTGAATTTATGGGCCAAAATAAGCCCTTCTTCCTGTGAGCCACTTACCTCAGCTATCTGGTCACAGCAACAGCAAGCATGCATACCAGCCCCTGGAGCAGCCCCCTAGGAGCACACACTCAAGCAGGCTGCACCTTGCATGTGACCGCGAGAACATCGGGGGACCCATTCTGCCTCAGCATACTCATTGAGAATTAGGCACAGCTCAAACCAATACTATAAGAAGGTGGTGGTGAATCTATAGCGCTCGTGCTGAGTGGGCTATGTCACTGAAAGCTCTAAAAGGCTCGCCATTGTTCTAGGTGCTGTTTTGTGAAAATCAGCTGAACAGGGCCAAGTGGATCCACCATGCACAGTAAGCACAAGGACTCAGGCTGCGGATGTAGCTTAGTAGCTCAGTGCTTCCCTGGCCTGCACAAGGCCAAGTTCAACCTCCGGTACCATAATAAGGACAAAAAGCAAAGTGCAGTGATCCCTGTTAACCTGTGCACTGCCTGGGGAAGGCAGGCGGAGTTCTCCATGTGCCTCTCCTGCTCGCCACCACCATGTGCTGTCAGGGCTGCTGGGCCCCAACTTCCCTGGGCCCAGCTCCTTGCTGGCAGGACAACAAAGGAGAGCAACAGGCTCATCCACCAGCCCAGGTGGCCAGTGAATAATGGTGGTGTCTGTGCCACCTCACCAAAGCCAGTTAATAAGCCCGGTTTCCCACCATTCAGAGACAGGGCAGCCAAGGCCGAGGCCACACCATGCTCTCCCAGAGGACAGGCAGAGTGATACCCTTCCCCTGGACAGGGGCCTCCACCAAGCCACAGGAACCATGCTCCACCCCAGGAATTCGTGTGCAGGGTGAGGCTCTAGGGATAGCTGAAGGAGAGAGGACGAGCCCAACGCCACCCTCCACCTACCTTCTCCCCAATCTGCTGGTCCTTGGAGAGGCTGGTAATCATTTTCACATCCTCATCAGTCAGCTCTCCAACGGCCACCTTGTTGTCCTTCTTGGCCACGTGGTTGGCCAGGATGACTGTGGCAAACACTGGAAAGCCATTGGTAGTGTTGAGGGAGCCGTCATAGTTGTTGTGGTAGATGCCGGTGAGTTCCTAGGAGAGGGAGAGGACAGGGAGGGTCAGGACTCACACGCTACTTTCTCCAGCTCTCCCTACTACATGCACCACTGCGAGAAAACTAGGACTGAACTGCTAGCGTGGATCTACAGCATGCCCCAAGAGCACATGGCTAAAGAGTTAGGTCACAGGAGCAAACCCTGAAGGGACACTGGACACAGTCCCTTCGTGCACCTGTTGATCACAAGGTGATCAGGCTTCCTGCACCACACCCCCAGCCACGATGTGATGCTACAGGCTCAAAGTAGCAGGTCCAAATGACCAGGGCAGAGCACTCTGAAACTCAGCCAGAACGCATCTTTTCTCATTTTGATTGATTATCAAAGAACAGAAAGCTGAGGAACGCAGAAACCTGTTGTTCCAACCAGCTGGTCCACTGCAAAGAAGAGGTCTCTGCCTCAGTGGTTCAAGAACTGACCTCAGTATCAGCTCCTGGTCACCATAACCCTGGGGCTCCCAAAGGTCGCAGCAGACACACCAATTCCTATGCACTGGGCAGCCTCCCGGCACACTGCTGGCTACTTACGATCTCATCCCCAGGTTTACAGCTGTCCACCAGGTCAGCGAGGAGGATGGCATCCTTGGAGCGAGGCAGCCGGCCGGCCGCCACTTTGCCTGGGCTCTCCTGGATCCGGATGCGTTGGTAGTTCTGATAGACGGTCTGTGTGGGAAGAAGGGGACGTCATGGGCCCTGCTCTGCAAGCCACAGGCCTTGCTCTGCTCCAGGAACCTCCTCATCCTGTCACTGACCTTGACCTCAGTCCACAGGAAGGCAGAGAAGCGGCATTATTATTCCTGCCTCCTAACTAGGAAACAGAGCTAAAATAGCAAGGAACAAGTCCATGGTGACACAGCATATTAGTAGATAGTCCCCATGCCTGCCACCAGACTTCAGGACATCCCAGTGTCAGGCTCAAACAGTGCCCATTCCCATGGCACGGCTCAGCTATGTGAGCACGGATGCCAGAGCCAGGGCACCTGGGTTCAAATACTGGCTGCGTACAAAGCCCTGTGACCTGGGCAGGGAACTTTCTTTCTATCCCTGCTCTGCAGAATGAGGATGCCGATACTGTGACTGCAAGCTTGTGGGGAGAGCAGGTCAGGTGCATGCACAAAGCACCTAAACAATGCCTACTGGGGAAGTTACACTCTGCCTGTGCTGTGCCGAAACCTAGTGTCCACTGTTTCACTCACTGCCAGAAAGGAGGCAGCATGTTGCAGTTAGGTAAGAGCGTGCCCACGGCCCATGTGGTCAAGGACCAGTTGGTCTCCAGCCCGTGGCACTCCCAGCAGGTCCTGAACACTGGGGCCAGTCCTCAGAGGGGACTGGGGACATCAGTGTCCTAATCTCTCTGGTGTCCCTGCTCCATGGCATGCTCCATGCCAAGCCCAGCCACCCCCAGACCAAGACCCAAAACTGAGCCAGAGTAAACCTCTCCTCCTTGTAAGTTGATTTGCTCAGACATTTTATTACACCAGTGAAATAGTGACTAGCGCACATGACACAGCCTTAAGCCTACAATGTGCACCAACATCCCTGGGCCCTAAGCAGAGGCTGCTTCCCAGCGGGGCCTCATTCAGTTCCTTCTCCAGACACCAACTCAGAGGTGACAGTGGCACTCGCCTCACACAGAATGATGAAGTCTAAGTCCTACGAAGGACTATGTGTATTTTAGCACTACTTGCTTATCCTCCAAGAGTCATTGCACCAGCTCCCTAGGAGCAGAGCTGAATCTGTCCTGTGACTCAGGAAGAAGTAGGGCCTGCACACCAAGCAGTGCCCAATGGCCAGGGAGGATCCTGGGAGGAGACACAGCTGCTGAACGCAGCTTTGTGATGCATCACCCGAGCCAGCCGGCACCTAGGCACTTCCTGTCCAACAGCTGGATAACTCTCAGAACTGCAGAAGGGATGAGCAGTGGGTATCTGAACCACAAGGTTGCACCAGGACATCCAAGAACAAAGACACAGAAGCTGTGCCTAAGACTTCAGAGCCAGGCCAGCACACCTGTCACCCAGCTATTCCAGAGGCTGGGACAAAAAGATAGCAAGTTCTAGGCCAACCTGGGTAAAATGATCCCTGTGCGAGACAGAAATAGAAAGCTAGTGCCTGAAGAGGTGGCCAGAAGAGAATAGGGCCCCATTCACCTGTTTCAAGAAAAGCCAGGTACTTGGACGTTTTGGGTACAACTGTCTGATATTATAACACTGGCTTGAATCTTGACACTCCTGTGCAGGCCTATCTACAGAAGCCCTGAGAGTCAGCACAAGGGGACCCAAGACAGGAAGGACGGTGGGCAGCAGAACCACATGCTCTCACCTCCTCCATGTTGACTTCGAAAGGTCCCAGGGACTGGCACTCGGGACAGGAGCCTGGCTTCACTTCCTGGTTCTGGGACTGGCAGAAAGGCCCGAGCACGAAGTTGCACTTGTTGCAGTTGTACTTGACCATGCTGAGCTGTGGCAGCACGCCTGTGCAGCTAGTTACCACGCCACTCGTGCGGATCAGCTGGTTCAGGTGCAGCTGCCTGGGGGGAGCTGGAATGTCAGGACCCCTGACTGGACCCCCGAGGACCCATTCCTTCACTCCCTTGGCCTCCCTGTGCACCCTGCTCCAGCCCCTGCTCTCAGTTCACCTCAGCGAGCGCAGTTCCTCCACTAGGGGCAGGTGGGAGATGCGGACGTGGATGTGGCTCGCAATGCGGTCATACTTGGGGTACATGGCCAGCACTACTTCCAGGGCAGCCTCATCAAAGATCTGCAGCAGTTCAGCCGGTGCCTCAGGGAGGAAGTAAGCCAAGACATGCTCGCGGGCTGCCAGGTCCTCATAGTTCACCACCAGGCTCTCACGGTTCTCTAAGGCAGGCAGAAACTTGGTAGGGGCCATGCTGGCCTACGGAGGAGTCTCCCCATTACTAGGATGTCCACATGAGCAAGGCTGACAGCCAAATGGCCACCGAACCCAAATGCCCAGCCTCCTCCTTAGCTCTGCAAGTTAGCCAAGCAATACAAGCCAGGCATCATCCACTTGCCATTCTGTCAGGTGGGCGTATCCCACTGAGGAAGACTGCTGCGACGACGATAACATGGTAACAGAAGGCCTATAGGGCCATAATCCCAGAAGACCACAAGGCTCAGAGGGAAAACCTATAGACAGGCTCTGCCACACACGGAGCAAAGGGAGACGAAACTGCAGGAAACACAGTCTGTGCGTTCCCGTCAAAGCCAACACCTACCACATAGAAAAGCACCACTACTTCTCTCGAGATAGGGTCTTGATCAGTTAATAAGTTGCCCCAGTGAGGCTAGAACTCAAGATCTTCCTGTCTCAGCCTCCCAACTAGCCAGGACTGCAGCCTGGCTTGTGTTGCTTCTTCCTGATCCCTCAAGGAGCTAGGAGTGTAGCTCAATAGTAGAGTATATGCTTAATTAACATACGCAAGTGCCCTGAGCTCCACCCCCCCCCCAAAAAAGAAAGTTAAATTACATGAATTGTATCTAACATCTGCCCACATTTAAAATCAAAAACCATGGGGTAGGGATGAGGACCTAGTACGGCTTCTCAGTATATGTGTGCTCCTCAGAAAAATGGACACCTCGGTTCCTGTCTAACTGTGGACAGATATATCACCCAGTGTTCCCTGCCAGAATGGGGACATACCTTTGCACATGTCACTGATACGCTCCTTGAAGACATTGTGGCCATGGCTGTCCACGTGGGTGCGCAGGAAGTTCTTGAAGCGATGGTGGATCTCCAGCCGGGGCCCTGCCATGCTCACCCACTCGCGCACGGAGTGGCCCTTGAGGTCCTCCAGGTTCTCAATGCTCTCAATCATCTCCTCATCCTCCTCACCCACCTCCGTGGCCCGCTCTACCTGGCGGCGCTTGCGACTGGGGCGTTCCTCATCCTCCTCATCACTGTCTAGGGGTGTGGGAGAGGGACAACTCGGGTATAGTCTCTCCTGGCATACTTCCCACCTCCTTGGATTCCCTCCAGCACTGCAGAAGACCAAACTTACCATACAGGAGTCCTCGGCGCATACGTCCCAGGCCCCGGCCAGCCTCTCGGTCACGCTGTCGCATGACTCTCTCAGCTGCTTCCCTCTGACTGGCTGTGAGCTCCTCTACGTCCTCATCATCTAGGGCCAGCCCTTCAGCCTCATAGGTGTCCAGCTCAGGGATGGCACGGTAATCCCTGACAGAGCCCCAAATGGAAGCAGTTAGTCCTCAAACACCCACCCAGAAAATAAGCCTGATCCTCAAGGCTGAGGAGAACCTAGCCTGACCAGGCCAGGAGCCTACAGGTATGGACACAAGCTTCAAAACAGAAACCTAACTCTATAACCTTTAATATGTGTCTATAAATGTTTCCCACACATGGTCTGGTACAAATTAGATACACTAAATGTTGGCTGACAGAATCTCAATCTTGACTCATCCAACCCAATCCCATACAAGTTTTCTTTGAAAAGTCACAAGTTGGCACCTCTTGTCGTGATTCTTCAGGAGACCTCTAGATCCCCTGGGATGCAAATAGAGGGTCTGGTCTTTCCCACTGACAGCAAGCTAAACAGATCTGCACTGTGGCTCATGAATCTGTCTCCTTGCATGCTCTGGGCCAAGCCACACTCATAAGAGCGTCATCAGATTCATCTCCCCAGGGCTGGAGAGATGGCTCAGTGGTCTAAAGCACCTACTTAGAACAAGCTTAGCAAAAGCATCAGGGACCTTGGTTCAATCCCCCAGCACCACATG